ATGAGGTTTAAAGAGAGGGGCCACAAAGAGAGAAGGGATATACTTGCTCTGGCCTCATTTGAGCAGAGAAAGACCCTAGTCCCCCGGGTTGGGTCGAGAGGCCTAGGACCGAACAAGGAAGGGCTTCTCTGAAAATCCTAGGCTGTTGGGGGGTGCGGGATGCAGGGTGTGCAGGAAGAAGTACTGCCTTCTGTCCTGGGAGTACAGTCTGACAGGTGCAGCGCCTGCTCCCCTCCAGGGGGAGCCAGAGAGCCAGCAGGGCCCATCTGGAGATTTCGAATGCTTGGGCTGCAGGGCAAATCCCAGCCTGGCAGGGTCAAGGTGCCAAGAGAGTGCCTGGGATGCCTACCACTTCACACCATGGAGGCCCTGACCTCTCTGGAACCTCCCGGCTTTCAGCTCCCCAAGGGCCTTATAGGATTTGAGCCCCACGATCTCACGAGTAAGAGCTTTGCCTCTCCCACAAGGAAGCAGCCAGAACATACCCAGGAGCGCTGCTGTCTGGCCAGAGCCAGCTGTCCCCTATCCCTGTGTCAGAAGCCCCCATTCAGCTATCCCTCTGCTGTGCTAAGCCTAGACTCTTGCTTTCATGCAGAGCCCCCCAAGATCCGTGTCCCCCGCCACCTTCGGCAGACTTACATCCGCCAGGTGGGAGAGTCGATCAACCTTCAAATCCCCTTCCAGGTGGGTATGCCTCTACCTAGAGGGAGAGTCTGGGTGGAAACCAGAGTCCCAGCCAGGTCCACAGCAGAAGCCCAGGAAAAATCAGGATTCCCCCAAGGGCTCTGACTAGGATCCACCAAGAAGGCCTCGTCCTTCCTTGATCACACACATGACTCAGTTGTGACCCCCAGCCTGTGGACTAGCAGGTGGATCCCCAGTGCAGCTGGACATCTGGAGGACAAGGCTGGGGCAGCACCTATGGCTCCAGCCCCTGCTGCCCCTCCTGAGAAGGACCAAGGGACAGGCTTCCAAGGACACAGTTCCAGATACCCCGGAGCTGGAGGGAGTGGGGGTGCCAGCCTGACCTGCACTCACCCTGAGGGCTCCCTCCCATCAGGGGAAGCCCAAGCCTCAGGCCTCATGGACACACAATGGCCAAGTCTTGGACGGCAAGCGGGTAAACGTGCACAGCGGGGACCAGGATTCCATCCTCTTCATCCGCTCAGCCCAGCGCTCTGACTCAGGCCGCTATGAACTCACTGTGAGGCTGGAAGGTCTGGAGGCCAAGGCAGCCATCGACATCCTGGTGATTGGTAAGGGGCCAGGGGAGACAGGATTGGTCCTCAGGGACGTAGAAACATCCCCGTGGAGCTGATGGCTGGTGGGGGCAGGCTGAGGAAGCACGGCAGGAACCAAAACTCGGGTGTGGGGACTTTGTGGCAGGCTCAGCCTCATGCTCACTCCCCTCCACTGTGGTCCTGCAGAGAAGCCTGGGCCCCCCAGCAGCATCAAGCTACTGGACGTGTGGGGTTGCAATGCTGCCCTTGAGTGGACACCACCCCAGGACACGGGCAACACAGAGCTCCTGGGCTACACGGTGCAGAAGGCAGACAAAAAGACAGGGGTGAGGCCTGCCGGGACAGAGTGGGGTGGGGAGGAAGTGCCTAAGGTGGCTGCAAAGGCCCATCCCACCAAGAGTCTCAGGATCAGTTTCAGTGCAGTGACTGTTGACTCCCTATGTGACCCTTGGCAGGACTCTTCCCCATTAAGACAGCAAGGAGGGCTGGCCCGCGCTGTCAGAGGCCTTTCAAACTCTGGAGCTGTGTTTCTGGAATCTTCATGAGCATATTAGTTACCTAGAAATCTTGCTAAGATGCAGATTCTGATTCAGTAGATCCTGGCTGGGACTGAATCCTGAAGTCCCCAGGTGATAATGAGGTTGCAATCACATCCAAAATAGAAAGGCTCTAGAATTCTCTGAGGTCCCAGAGAGCTCACTTGAGTGACCCAGGTGCCCCTTCTCCCACTTCAAAGTCCTTTGGGACCCAAAGCTGGATGGTTTCACCTCCCAGGGTTGGAGACATAGAATGAACCCTTCTGGGGAGGCAGCCACCGGGAGGGTGAGGACTAAGGTGAGGGGTGAGTGTGACGGGGCCGGGGTCCCCACAGCAATGGTTCACAGTGTTGGAGCGCTACCACCCAACCACCTGCACCATCTCCCACCTCATCGTTGGCAACTCGTACTACTTCCGGGTCTTCTCAGAAAACCTGTGTGGCCTCAGCGACTCAGCCACCTCCACCAAGGAGCTCGCCCACATCCGGAAGGCGGGTAGGTTTGGTTCAGGCCCAAAACCCTGTCTCTCTCTACCTCTACCTCCGCGTCCCTGCATCCCTCCCTCTGGACTTCTCCTGGGTGCCTGTTTCCTGGACCATTCTCTGCCCTCCTTTGACTCCACCGCTGTGTGTGTGTGCATGAGTGTGTGTGCACACACAGAGTGGCTATAAAGTAAGGGATGTGGCTGATGGGCTTTAACAAACACATCAGAGCAAACCCATGCAAATGAGCACTGCCCCTTGGGAGGCTGTGTACTTATTCTAAAGATGTGTGTGGCTGTGAACGTCACAGCAGCCATTAGGTCTCATGCACAGCGTCCCAAGGGACCTACCCTGAAGGGCAATATGTACGTGATTTGTAGACTCCAGCGAGTTCGTAAAAGCAGCAAACTCACCGCCTAACGAGAACGTCACACAGATGGACGAGATCACTACAGCATCTCCGCAGGGCGCCTGGCCCTCTTGGGTCAAATGCTAAATCCCAGGCCCTTCTCCCTGTCACCCTCTATGTCCAAGGCCTTTTCCCCACCCAGGGTGTGTGTGGGCTCCAGAAGGCACAGTCTTTTTGACACCAGCCTGACCTGCACAAAATTAGGAGAAAGTTTCTGTTTTAAAAAGGAAAACTAATGAGGTCTCCAAAGACAGGAATGAAACACGGTAACTCCGTGTCACTGGTCTCCGCCTTCCGCTGAGATCTGCTCCCCTGCTCTGTGTTGCTGCCCACTCTTCTCTCTGCTTACCACCCCAACCCACCTGACTCCCTCTTGGCTTTCCTTGGCTTCTTTGACTTTTCTTCTCTAAGCTCCCACAAAAAAGCAAGGCTTCTCAAAAATCCTGGATAAAGTCAACCTTATGTATTCTCCTCAAATTCTGTAATCTCAAATTTTCCCTCGAACCCAGATATTGCTGCCAAACCTAAAGGGTTCATTGAGCGAGACTTCTCGGAAGCCCCCTCGTTCACCCAGCCCCTGGCTGACCACACCTCCACCCCCGGCTACAGCACTCAGCTCTTCTGCAGCGTCAGAGCATCGCCCAAGGTGAGGGGCCCGGGGCTGGTGGGACAGGGGGCAGTGTAGGGTTGGGAGATCCCAGTGTCTCCCCAGGGGCCTGAGAATGGCCCTTTGAGAGCATCCTTCCCAGCTCTCCTCTGATTATGCCACCCAGCCCAAGATCATCTGGATGAAAAACAAAATGAACATCCAGGGGGACCCCAAATATCGTGCCCTCTCTGAGCAAGGGGTCTGCACCCTGGAGATCAGGAAACCCAGCCCCTTTGATTCCGGGGTCTACACCTGCAAGGCCATCAACGTGCTGGGGGAGGCATCCGTGGATTGCCGGCTGGAAGTCAAAGGTAAGGGATTGCTCTCTGGGGACCACACCATGGATGGGACAATAGGAGACATTCCCTCTTTGGAGTTGGATTGGATGCCACTGAGAGCTGAAGATTAAAGCAGGAGAGAAGGAGACAGTGAGGATCAGATCAGGCCTTCTGAATGACTTTCCAAGGGGGAAGATGACCCAGTGGGGGGGAGCACGTGACCTTGAACCTCGATGTTCCCTCCTCTCCTCCCCTAAGCTCTAACCTGCAGGATCTCTTCTAGCCTCAGCCACACACTGAGGAGCAATGGAGGAGGCTGGTGTGAGGAGACAGGTAAAGGACTGGACCCACTCCCTCTGCTACCTCTGGGGACAGGGGGTGGAGACAAGAGGGAAGGCAGAAGTCAGCTCTGGGAACAAATCTGCAGTCCCAGGCAGCTCTGATGCCTGCCCAGAGACATGCATAAGTGGTGCAGGGCGCTGTGATGCTGTGAGGCCCGCAAGGGGGTGATGCCGGTGGTCCGCTAGACAGGGGTCTAACCCTGGCTTTGAGCCACAAGCAGGGGCAGTCTCTTGGGGCTTGTCTCCTCAACATGAAAGTGGGGACAACAGCCCCCGCACTCTTTCCCCTGGTGTGTCTAAGGCTCTGGATAAGTAAGGAAATATCTAGAACTGTGATGGGCAGAGTTCAGCCCTGGAACAGGAGGGGGGGCAGCCTAGGAAGGGACAAGGGGCTGCTTCCCCACCCCCCTCTGCAGCTCTGAAGCCCAGCTCTGCCTCCTACCACCGGGGCTCAGAAGTATGTTCTCTGCCAGGTCCTGCAGGCCTGAGGGGTCCGTCCCCCAGGTCCAAAATCTAGCTCAGCAGATACCAAATGACCTGCATTTCCATAGCAACAACTGATGGAACCGCCCCTACCTGATGACCTCCTGTCCCCGGAGGCTGGAGTTCAGAACTCAGGAGAGGGCCTGGCAGGCCCCAGCTCAGGCATTCTGGGCACCAGGGAGCCCGGAAGGAACAGAGACTGGAACACCCTGCAGAGTTGTACCCTGAGCAAGAAGCACTCAAATAAAGGTGTGTGATGTTACAGTTTGTGGCCTCTGTGGCAGTGAGCGTCACCACGAAGGGGAGGTACTGTGTCCCCATGTGTGGGTGGATCCACCACCCTGAGGAAGGAGCCAGCAGGAAGGGTCTCAAAATGTCCCAGGGCATTTTCTGGACATGGGAATGGTCGGACCTTGTTTTGTGACTCAGGGCTTGCTGTCCCAAGTATGTAACTATAGAAACAGACACACCTTCTCTGGAACCTTGCTTGCTCCCACATCCCCCACCGCTGTGTCTTTATTGCGAAGTCTGTCTTGTTTCCCCCAGGACAGTGGTGGGTGGTGCCAGCAGTGTGTTCTCCATGAGGGTTCACAGTTTTTTATTAGTCACCAGGGATATTTCAATGCCAGCAAGGCCCTCCCTGGAGGCCTCTCAGGACAGTGGCCCTCTCTGGCCTGTTCCAGCCTGCCACACCCCACCCCAGGAGTGCCCACAGTCAGCCCTGGGTCCCCCCAGATGCTTCTCACATCCTCCCTAGGCAGGCATAACGCTCCTAAGAGTGGTGTCTCTGGGGTTCTTCTCTTTATTGGGCCCAGAAGCAGCAGAGATGGTGTCACCTAGGAGGGTCCAGATCTTCATTAAGGACTGTTGGAGCTTGGCCACCCATGATGGGAAGTTACAATATCCAGGCTCCTTGGAAGCTTGGGGCAAGACCCTAGAGGGCTTGATGCTGCCACCTGGTGGCTGCCCATGGCTGGCACCTACCACACCACCCTCGGGGCTCAGAGGCCCCATTGAGGGGCCAAAAGGACGGCCAGTGGGGAATACACAAACTGGGAAATGACTTCTGGACCCCTCTTTCTGCCTCTTCCAAGTATAATCCTGGGTTTCCCAGGACAAAGAGAACAGGCGCCCGGTGCCCAGCATGTCAGGCACAGAGTCCTAGGAGGCAGAGATTAAGGCTCCTGGATTCCTGCTCCTGGCCACCTTCTCCTACAGTACAGGACAGAAAGCAGGCCAGGACACCCCCCCCCCCCCGCCCCTTCTCTGCTTATCTCCATCTCAGAGGGGATTCTCTCCTATCCTCAAGCTTGGTCCCAGGACATGCCACCAACCCTCTACACCAGTAGACTCCTCTGCTTCACTGAAGGAGCCAGCGCTTCCTCTCCTAGCCCCCAATGGCTCCTCCACAGTTGGCCCCTAGGACCTGCTCAGCTAGACGCCTCATGGGCTATCAGGCAGGGGGCGCTCAAGACACTTTTCTCTGGCCTCAGGGCACAAGATCCTTCCCTTGGGCTGCCCTCCCAAATCTCCGCCAGGACCCCTCGGTGCAGGGCGGCTAACTCCCTGTGGAGGGGCCCCCTGCTCCGTGGGCATCTCTTCAGACCCTCCCCACTGCCACAGCCCACAGCCCAGCTGGGGAAGGGCTCAGGAAGACCAGTGGGACAGCGGGGAGGTGAGGGCTGGTGGGACCCCATTGGGTATGGGTTGGTGGGAGCAGAAGGCAGAGCTAGTCATCAGCCTTGTCTTCAGGGAGGTCCTCATCAGTGGGGGGCTCCGACTGGCAGCGGAAATGGTCGTTCCAGATCTTCAGGAAGGTGACCCGGAACTTCTGGATGCGGAAGGCATAGACGATGGGGTTCATGGCTGAGTTGCCGTGAGTAAGGAAGATGGCGACGTAGATGAGGATGCTGGGCTTGTGGCAGCTGGGGCAGAAGAGGGTGATGCAGTTCAGGATGTGCAGGGGCAGCCAGCTGAGGGCAAAGAGAAAGAGGATGAGGGCCAGCGACTTGGCGATCTTCAGCTCCTTCCCATAGTACTTCTGCGGGTCGCCGGAGGAGGCTGACACTTTCTTGCTGAGTTGCTTGCGGATCAGGTAGAAGACCTCCAGGTAGATGAGGACCATGAGGAGCAGCGGAGGCAGCACCCAGACGAAGAAGTTGAAGTAGACCATGTACTCCATGCTAATGACCTTCTCAAACTCGCACTTGATCACGGGCTCCCCCACACTGCCGTTGGCCACCCAGGCCCGCTCCACCTCCTGCAGGTTGTTCCAGCCGAACAAGGGTGTCAGGCCAACCACCAGGGAGAGAAGCCAGCAGCCAGCAATGGCCACTGCTGCCCTCCGTGGGGTCACCACCGTCTTGTACCTGTGGGAGAAGAGGGAAGGGTATGAGGAACTGCTTCCTAGCTGCCATGAAGATCCCTCTGAGACTCACCCAGCCCCTTGGGGGCGGCAGGGCGGGCTCCTACAGGAGGGTCCAGAGAAAGTAGAAAAGGATGGATCTTTTGCCCAAGGGCCGAGTCTTCAGTATCTAAAATTCAGGGCAAAGTTGGCAAGGCACTGGCTTGTTTCTCCTGCAGAAGGAGGGAATTCTGATTAATGATCAAAAAAATAACAAAGGACCTCTTTTAGGAGTTCTAAGGGAATGACCCAATAAACAGGACCACTACAGATCATGATAGGAGCCTTAAAGGATACGAACAGGATGATGACAAGGGATAGTGCTTTCCAACCTTTCTCACCTTGTGACACACAGAGCATGTAAAACATCAGGATGATATGTGGAGACATGGTCCAGACGTGATGGCCTGTCCCCAACCCAATACTGAGGGTAGGGTTTGAATATCTTGGGGGCTCCCCACTTGCCTCTAAACCATCCCAACCAGCAGCCAGTCATCGTATCATCTGCCCACACACTGGCCTTGGAACAAGTGCCAAGGGCTGGGGCCCGCCCAGCTCTGTGCCGAGGCTGCCCGAGCAGCAGCAGCCTGCCCAGTTGTTATTTTCCAGTGCAGCATCTGAGAGGGATGGAGTGCCCTCCTAAGCACGTAAACAGCTCCTGAAATCTGGGGTAGGAGGGGGACCTCTGATTGTTTCTTTCTGTCCTGTGTCTATGGAATCTGCAGCTCTTGCCTTCTCAGGACGATTGCCCCCTCACCCTGGGCAATGATTCTTCTAGACCTCTTACTATGTGCTAAAGCCCTCCTGCTCTGTGCAGGCTATGGGGATGGGAAGGGGGACCATTAGGAGAGCAGGAGAAGCCAGATGCCTCCTCCCTGTCCCATCTAGAAAATAAACACTAAAAGGGACTGTTGGGACCTCATCTGATCTCTGCAGCATTCCAGTGGAGAAACTGAGGACCCTAGATGACTCCAATGGCTTTGCAGCACTGCCCCTTCCCTCCTCTGTGATCCTAGGATCCTTGTGTCCCCAAACCATTCAGGGGTCTTGACTGATCAGTTCAATTGTGCCTAACTCTCTTGCAGTAAGGGAATCCCATTCCCTCCTCCTTGAATCCTCAGCAGAATGGCCAGGCCTGAGGCAGACGCTGGATCAGAAGTCCCAAATGTGTGGGCTTCTAGTCCACCCAAGTCTGCAGTGTGCTACCTCAATTCCTCCTTTGTACAATGAGACCTACTTCAGAGGGAGGGGATGGAATGAGATACTCTATGTGCAAATGTCTGTAAACATCTTGCCAATATCCTTAGCCTGAGTTCTTACCCCTCCAAGCTACTAGACAAACATGCACATGAAAAACTCCAGTGTCTCTAGATGCTCAGCAAGCCCAGCCTAAGGACTGCAAAACGTCTTACTCAGGCCTGGCTCCCGATGATCTCACTGTCCCCTGCATGTCCTCTCAGGGGCAGTGAAAGAAGTTCTAAGCATGAGTCTCTGAGCAAAGATCAAAGGAACAGGGATCATTCTGTGGGAAAAATTGTCTTGTCTGTCCCCCCCGGTAGAGTGTAGGGCCACATCCCCAGGGTGAGCCTTTGCAAGAGTGAGGCCAGAGGTGCTGTCCCGTTTACATCTATGGTTTACATCACGTTTATTGTTTATGCAGCCCTTTAACAGTCACGGCTCAGGTGAGCCCAGGAACCAGCCTGCCACGAGCCCAGCAGATAATGGATCCCGTGGAACAGATTAAAAGCTCCACTCACTCGGGGCTCCTGACTCCAAGCCCAGCTCTCCTCCAGGGTCCAGGCTGATTGTGGGTCATTTTGATCCATAAGATGGACAGATTCAGAATATTCCTTGCCTAAGAGGTTTAAAATGAGAACCACTGGACCCTGTTGAAGGTAGATACCACCGAGAGACAGAGGGTGGGCCCAGTGACCTCAATGATGACCTACGGAAAGAGGGGAGGAGTACCTGGACAGTGTCCCAGATTGGGGGAGGGAAGCGACCACTTCTGGCTGGAGAGCTGCACCCCCATCCCCCACCCTCCCCGACTGCTCAGAGCCCCCGGGGTTAAAGCTTTCCTGGGGCTCCTCCAGAACCAGGTCCCAGCCGACCCTGTGCACAGGGTATCAGTTCTCATCTGTTTTTCTTGCTATTTTCTCCTTGGTGGGAAAGGCTGAGCCCAGGACCTTGGCTTCAGTGGGGCAGGTTCTCACGGGGGCTGCCTCCCAGGATCGGGGGAGACACTCACCTCTCCTTACATGTGGGAAAGGGAAGCAGAAGCATCCATGAGGTGGGGGGGGTGTGGAAGTGACTCCAATACTTGGGGATATCCCTTCCCAGTGAGGCCCAAGTCTTCCCCATCCCAGGTACTGTGCTAGGAACCAACCAGAGAGAGGGCCACCCCAGGAGGGCTCAATCTCAGACCATAGAGACAGGAAAACACCAAGTGGGCCAATCCTCAGGCCAGCAGGGCAGACAGCTCCTTAAAGCTATGACAGAAAGATACAGGCGTCTTCCTCGAGATGCAGAGTCCCACCATTACAAAATGTCCCTTTAGGGTAAGACTTGCCTTCTCCAGGCATATTTTAAAAAAGCAAGATAACACCATAGGAAATTAGTGAGTATCTTCTTATTGCTGAGGGTAACATGAAAAGTTGGGTCCCTGGAGCAATAGGGTTGCAAAGACCCCAAGTAGGAAAAGGACCACTGAGGAAGGAAGTGGAAGGAAGCTTCCTGTTGAAACTCTCTATGATGAGATCTGTAGGTCACTGCTTCTTCCCTGAGCTCTGGCCAGGCTGCCATGAGAGGAGGGAGATTCTGAGGCTAAGTGATGGGGATGGGGGGTGCTGAAAGGCAATAGTCAGCTGGTAGGTATCAATAACATGCCGATGACAGAGAACGTTCCTTGCTGCCTTCCATATGCTGGGCGGGGACCATGTAGACATGATTTCACAGATTCTTCAGCACAGCCCAGAACAACAGCTGAGACTCAGAGGGATGGGGAAGTGTGTCCAAGGCTACTCCGTCGGGAAGAAGCAGAGATGGGATTTCTAAGACTGAGGCGTGTCCATGTCCAGGCAGCCAGCTCTGCCTCTCTGGAAGATGGAAGATGAGGGAGGTGTACACTGTGGAGGGAGCCATGGTGAGGGTGGGAAGGCAAACCCAGCCTGCTCCAGGGAACCTCCCGGACCAAGTAGTTCTGAGGATGCCACCATACCCTGCCCTGGAGCCTCCTCCTCCCCAAAGCCATCAGGCACACTTCCTGCCCAGGTGTTCAGCCACCTGTTCTATTCCCACTGGGGCAACCAGGCAGTTTGGGCTCTCTCCCTTTCAATCATTAAACTGATACTCCTTAAACACCTTTCAGGCCCAGGAACTCGGCGCTAGGGTTTGGGAATACAGAAGAGAACAGGTTCTAATAAAAGTACCATTCTGAAGGCAGAGAGACAGACAATAGACATGCAAACAGACGCACCAGAACATTCCAGAGTGAGAAGATCTATCAAGTGGCTCCGCAAGGCACTGAGAGGGAGTGACAGACAGAGTGTGCCGCCAACTTGGGCTGGGAGAGCCAGCCCTCCTCGCTGAGGAGAAGACAAGAGCCGAGAGCTAAATGATCACCAGTGAGCAGCCGGGCAGAGAGCCGGGGCAGAGCCTTCCAGACGTTCCCGCCAGGTGAAGGTGCTGAGGAAGGAAGAGAGGGCTGGTGGGGACAAGGCCCAGGGGTAAGGGCAAGAGAGAGGCTGTCTTAGCCAGAGACCTGGGCAGAAATGGTCACCGAGGGCCACAGAAAAGGTTCTGAGTGCAGGAGAAAGCTGTTTTCAGCAAAGGAGGGATATAATCTAATTTCTGCTTTAAAAACAAAACTCAAGGTGCCACATGGAGAATGTGTGGTAGCAGGGAATGAGAGGAAGAAAGCCAACGCAGGCCATTTTAGCCACACAGGCAGGAGACAAGGGCCAGGAGCCCCAGTGGGCACAACAGACAGCAGGGAGAAGGGTGTGGCTTTGGAACATATTTGGGATCAGGAGAAATAAGACTTGCTTTGAGTGTGAATGCCTAGGAGAGGAAAGAACCAAGTCGTCTGGGGTTTTTATCCTGACCACTAAGCAAGTCTCCCTGCCCTCATCCCCTTGTGTGGAACCCCATTCCTCTCCCAGGGAACACACACTGTCCACGCAGACACTCCTGTGTGTGCATATAGGGGACACTCTCCCCGCTCAGGACCTTGGCACCTCCTGCACATCTCCTAGGGTGTCTGGGAGGCTAGTTCTCCCCTCATTCAGGTCTCAGCACAGATGCCACCTCCTCAGAGTTCCCAAACCACCCTGTAAAACTGATCCCCATCACCCCGTGGCTTCATGCCATGTTTAATTTTCCTGATAGAGATGATCTCACTTTCTGGCTCGCTATATGTGTATTGATGCATTTGTATCTGTTTCTCTCCACTAGAGTGTAAAAGCTCAATTAGGATAGAGCTTTTATTTTGCATAATCAACTCAGCATCCCAGTAGCTATTTGTTGAACGAATAAATACTTGTAAAAATGGATTAATGAATGCAAACATCCCTTTATTCAGAAATGATTGACTGAGGTTCTGCCACGTGATACAGCTCAGAGAGTCAGAGAAAAGGACTAAATGATAGCTGCTCAATTGGAGATGGTCAGCTAGATGGGCATGGTCTTGACCCCGGAGGCAATTACAGTGTGCTGGATGAGGACGCTAGTTCCCTCGCTCATTCCCCACTGAGCTGGGAGCTGCAGGGGATCTCATGCTGAATCAAATAACTCCTGGTCCCCTGCTTAGGTCCTGTGACCTATGGCTGCAGTGATGAGGACCTCTGATGAGAGATGTATGCAAGTGCCACCAGTCTAGCAGCCAGCCACCAACATGTTACAGCAGCTGTGAGCCCTAGCATATTGAGAGATCAGCAGAGGGGCTCCCCAGTCTTCCAGCCTGCAGCC